TACACAGCAGTGAGGATTACACAGCAGTATAATTTTTTTACCCTTAATAACAGTAAGGATCTTGGTAAAGGACCTCCCTTTTGACTCAGTGCTGCAGATCCAGAGTCTATGGGACAAGAACAAGAAGTGTGCTTGGGATTCTTTCCTCCTCCAACACACTTGTGTTTAACCTTGGGCACCAAATGGCACCTTCAGTCACTATTGACACTCGATCAGCCCAACCTCCTCCAACTGTCCTCTCCTCAACCTCATCCCCCACTGCAGGAGCTGTTCCAAGGATGAACAGTGGGGCAGTTTATAGGTAAGACTCTAGAGTGTAACCATCATTATCCATGTTATTAAGAATGAAAGTTAAATGCCTTGAATATGTCAGCACACTGCCCTGCTGCACAAGCCAGAGGCCAGCAAGGTGTCCCCTCCTCAACTCATGCCTTGGAAAAAAAAGGCCTAACTTCTCAAGGTGGATGAGATATGTCCAGCTCTTCCACCCTCCTTAGTCATTCACGTGTGTCTATTTCTGAAAGAGCACTATATGGATGAACTTGGGGGATGTGCATAACAAAGGCCATGTTCTCTACAGCTCCTGGAGGATTTGTGGTTGACTCAGTGCAACACAGTCTAACACCAGGTTGATCTTTATAGCACTAAGCTCTTAACTATTAGTCAGATGTATATACACGCAAATGATAAATCCTCTTAATTCAACTGAGCAACAAAGCAGAAAAGACTGTAGTCACTGTTATTTTAGTATAGTTAATAAGCTTCAAAATTACATGCAATTTATTCATATTCATGTAAAATCTACCACAGGAAAAACAAAACCCCAACCCAATCCTACAATACTGGCACTAAAGTGCATAATGAGATCCTGTCGTTCCAAAGTGGTTTGCTGCATTTTACTCTGATTATTGAGTTGTTTTCTGTACAAAAAGCTACAATACCTTGAAGGAAGTCAGAACAAGAGTGAGAACTCCAGCCCTACCAGAAAGGTAGCTTTTCCATTTATTTTGTACATGCAGACATAAATGGTGACTAAAAATAAACAGCCCAGTTTCTATATTTTTCTTGCTTTGAGACTGCTCAGTTTTTCCCAAAGAAACTTCCATTTCTGCATGTCAGAGATTACTTTAGTTAAGACTACAGAGGAGGATTTGAAGGTGGCAGTGCTCTACATTGCATAAAAGTTACATGGTGTGTCAGTTTGTGATAGTAGTAATGCATCTCATGCATTTGCAACCACCATACAACACATTGGTATTTCTTAGATTTCACAGCTGTAAGAAACCCTATTCATTTGCAGGAGCAGTCTTAAGAGATCTACTACAATGGCTTTAAAACATTGGATCAAACTGGCTGTAGTGACTGTGATGGCCATGATGGCCAGCTAATGGGCCCCTTTTATTTCAATATGAATGCTATCCAGAAAGGACAAAGGTATGAAAAACAATTCATTGGGTGGTGATGAATAATACTGTTTTGTCTATATGTTGATCCCTTTTTAAAAAAGACAGAATTTAAATATATATACATATGAAATGTGTAGATAAATATAGAGAGATAGCTATGTTAATATGTAGTTTGATCAGAACTGGATTAAGCAAAGTAAATCTAAAGGCACCATAGTATATCAGCATCATTGAATAAAATACTGGGCAATTAGGCTCAGATTCACTTAATGATGTACCATACTCAAACAACCTCAGTAAAGAATTCAGCTGTTCTGAATCCCAGGGGTTTTTTACCTAGTTAAGAATCAGAAAGGCTAGGGAGCAAGATAAGAATGCTTTAGAAAAACAGAATTCTCATTTGGGCCTATACCCAGAGGTTATAATGAGCAAAGCACTGACTTTCCTCTTTGCCAATGGTCTTAGTCAGTCCTATTAGCATTAAACAAATTAGCTGGTATAAAATCATCCTCTGTTAATATAATTCTGAATTATACTTGCATGTTGAAGAACAGAGTCCACATGGGTACAAATGAATAGTGCCTTGTTCTCTTTCTTGTTTAATTAATCCAAGTGTATTTAAAGTGAACAATAACTCATCAGGCTAAAAAATTCTGAAATGTACCATATCATGGTTGCAGGAAATTCACCTACGTGCAAGAAAAGCCTCATTTCTCACTTCCACCGATGTTACATTAACATGGCTTTAATTTTGGTTGAGCTAATCCTTTGCTCATTTTAATGTGACAGGAAAAACAAACTTCAGATCTTCTACATAAGGCAGCTTTAAATTTGCTGCCTTTTTAGAAAATTATTTGACTCTGGTGTTAAATCAGCCTTGGCTACAGATACAACATAGTGACAGACTGCCTTGTGAGCTGAGATGAGAAGCAGACAATTTGAACTTTAAGGAGCCTTTGATAAGTAAATGAGGATAAAAAACAAGATAGAGAAAAGTTTGTTAGGAATTCAAGCTAATGTAGCACTCCCAGACATGGAGAACATGCTGCTCCAGAAGAAACACCTTCCTGCAACCTGGAGAAATACTTTCCTTCTTTCAACAGCTGAATAGAGAAGAAGCAGCTCTGCAATGCTGGGACTTGTCCTGCAACTGAAGTGCTGTTGGTCCATTTAGTAGAAGTCTCAGTCATGGCAGGGGGGTAAAGCACCAAGACTGCTGATATTTTCAAATCTCTTAGCAGCAGTAACCACACAGCAGCTTTTCTGCAAAATAAACAAAACAAGAATCCAGTTAATTCAGCAGTATATTTTTTTTATTTGGTTAAGCGTTCTAGGACAACCACATGGTGGTTTCTTTGTGCATAAAGAGAAGAAAGCAGTGCTGAAGCTTCTTGCTTACAAAGGGTTCTTGCAGCCACCTTTTATGCAAAATGTTTTATACAGTATTAAAAAGACAAGGCCTCTTTGTTAAGTGGAGAATTGATCCTGGAGGCCTCTCTTGAAATGCAGCTACTCTGCTTTTTTGACTCTCCTATCATACAGATCACAGCATGAAAAGGCATGCTGAAAACCTCTCAATTTATTTGTGTTACCACTGCATGCATTTATAATGTCAGGGCTAAATCAACTGGCACTTGAGTGCATTATTTTGGGTTAAATGTGGTAACCATATTACTTGCCTGATAAAAATAGCTAAAGAGATTCTTTATAAATAAAGCACTGCCATGACTTTAGATCCACTCATTAAGTAAACTCAAATAAACTCCAAAAAGAAAAACACACACAGAGGAAATAACACTACAAAAGCCAAAACCAGATTTCCCTGCAAGTTAGATCATGGGTAGGTTACTATGTTACAAAGCTATTAAAAGTTTATTTAAAAATAATTTTGACTGCTGTTTGACAGTCAATTTATCTCCAAGTTGACTTTGGTTGTAATAGAAAATTGTGTAATACAGTGCTTCCTGCATTAGAGGGGAGAATTTTCACCATTTGGTTGCTGTGCTTGTTTCCACAACTTAGTGGCTTAAAATTGGAAGTACAGACAAAAACACTAATCACGGAACAGGTCAGGAAAACCTGTTCAGAAAGCTACATTGTAGAAACACACAGGTGAGTGGACCAAAACTTCATGCAATCTATCTCAGCACCAGTGAAGTGAAGATGCTGAGGATCACAAAGAGGTATTCATTTCCACTGGATTTCCACTATAGAAGTTGATGCTCAGACATTACCATGTCAGGAACTTACACAGCTTTAAAGAGCAAGTAGGATATAATAATGGTACCTCAGCCCTTACAGGCCTCTGCTGTACCATGGAAAGGCAGCTTCAAGTCCCTGAGATACCTCATTTAAAGATCTTTAAATTCTGTGTAACCACACTACACTGTATAAAATCTCTTCTAATCTAACTTAGTCAAAATAGAAAAAAATTTTCAACTTCTCACAAAACTCTCTTTTTTCACATGTTTCTGGACAAAGCTTGTTGCAAAAAAACCAAAACCCAGTACATCACTTGCCCAACCAAGCAGATTTTGTATGATGGCACCATTAAAACCTTGCATGTGGTGAAAGGTGAACTAGTTTGATTTTGGCATCCTGTTGTTACTCATGATGCACTACTAAGTGTGGTTTTACAGTGTATGTGTGTGTTCTCAGTCTAATTCACATCTTGACACTCCACTGACTTTTGCCCAGAGATTCCCCCAGAACCTTCAAGTGGTTCCCATGGTCCTTCCAACAGAGGCAACAACTTCTGTGGTAGTTGGAAATAGTGGCTGTGGGAATTGGTGTACTTGTTTATGGAGATACTGTACTGCCTGAGGTAGCTGGATTTCAAAGTGACTGAGTGAGTATGCTTTGGTCAAAGACCAGAGACAGACCATGAGAGCAGACTTGAGTCTCCCTGATCCCTGAGAGAGGCAACCAAGCCAGCCTGAGAACCACTAATGAAGTGTTTGTTAATGAGAGGGCAAAGACAGGGAGCCAGGAAAAAAAAAGGACAGAGAGAGAGATGCTCTGTCAAACTTGTCTGGGTTGCTGAAAGGGAAGATAAGTGCCCTGTCAGGACTGGGTCCTCAGAAGTGTGGAGCAGCTTCTTTTAGGGGACACCTTGCTTTGATTTCGCTACAGTTAGTGGAGCTGCCCTCAGGGTCTGGCCCGTGCCTCTGCTAAAAAGTAATTACTTTTCGTATTTCTACCCTTTTTAAACTAGACTTCTAACCACAGCATGAAAACCTGAAAGCTTTCAACACTGAAAAATTATTGGGTGCAATCCTGCCCCATGAGAGCCAGTGGGAGCATAACCATTCCCTCTAAAATGGCCAGGGTTTGCAGCACATATGGCCTCATATACATTAGGGTTTTTTCACATTGTTGCTACTTGGTATAAATGATAGACCCAGTTTACATTTTGAAAGCTTTCCAGACAGCAGCAGGGATGGTGGTGGTGAATACAGTTTGGACTGTGCACTTTGGACTATGCAAGGTTTTCGGCTGCCCACTGATCCCTTCTGCAGGGGCTACAGCATTTATATCTGAAGAAACACCTGGGACCTGAAACAAACCTTCTGTTTGGCAGCTCTTTCAGAGAGGTTATTGAGCAGGGAGTGCTTGGGACACACAGTCACCTTTAACCTTTTTCTGAGGGAAAAGAAAAACAAAAAAAGAAAGATACCATTATTGGAGCATTAATTGAAGATCAATCACATCTTTCCTCTAGGTAAGGTAATGGCAGAACACTGCAACATCAGCATGTTTAGTGAAGCTATTTTGCAAAGCACAAGAAATATGAATAAAAAATACTGGGGTAGAAGTTACAAAGGACAACATGAATTGTAAGGTTTGTATTAGGGTAGGGTTTCCTGAGAAAAAAAAAATTGGTGATAGGAAGCAGCACAGCACAGCTTGTGTTCTTGCAGCATTTGGAAAAGACTGTCTGTTCCCCAGATTGCAGAAACCAGAGCTTCACTGGAGCCCAACTAAAGGAGTCAAATTGTACCCTATGAAACCCTCTGAAGAGATATTAGCTGTGACAAACTCTCTTATTTTTACTGTGCACACACACTTATAAATCTTCTAATAGTCTCATGGGTATTGCTGTTCTGGGAGATTATAATGAAAACTAGATTTCAGTGCAAATTAGAATAATTTATTTGATTATTTTTATATCCAATTGTATAGTACTTCTAGTTATTCTACCTCTGTAAAACAACAATGTCTTGCAAGGACTGAGCTTTCAAGACACTATTCAGTCCATCCTGCCCAGAACCTATACCACCACATCAGCAGAGCTATCCCTGCACTTCCAATACTGTAAAAATTCTGAAACCTGCTTAAAATTATGCCCTTGCAAACCATTGAACCAGAGTGGACTCACTTAGAAACAGCCAATAGCAAGGTCACCAACAGTGTGAAACTCCCAAAATTACTGACTACTTAACAGAAGAAGAACCAAAGCGATTTAAAATCTTGTTGATCCTCCAGCTCAGCCCAATTGAATTGTTTGCTTGAACAAACAACTTCTTGTTTTGTGTTGGCCACAAAGTTGGCTACCCTCGAAGGGTAAGAAGGTGCTTAAGTACAAAGACACACACTAGGTGAAGATCCAAGCTCTGTTGGAAAACGTACGGCTTGGGAAGAGGTAGGATGAACTCTAACAGCACTCATAGGGGACTTCAGGAGAGCCTGAAAGGGTTTTCAAAGCAGGAACCAAAATCATCCCCAGATGGAGAATTCTTTTCTTATGGTAATTCAGTTCTCATTTTGTAAATACTCTCGTTTTGCTAAGAAATCTATCCACTCAGCAACATGGAGCATTGTATGATCTTATATTTCCTCCCAGACGTGCAAGAACTGATGAGCAAGTTGTGAGCATGCAAATTGTAACAGCTAAAAAAACGCAAGGGTACACATGTGGCTCACAGTGGGAAGAAATTAATCAGCAACAAAGACTCAAAAAGAAGGTAAGAAAAATGTCAAAGCAAATAGTGATGTGGCAACATAAGAAGGCAACAGCAGATGCACAAGGATATGTAAATTTAGGGACCTGGAGTCTGCAGTGGAGCTTGTGGTCTGTTAACCATGGGTGTTTTAAGGCAGCAGTTGCACTTAATCTCCAGCTAAAGGAAAACCAAGAATGCTATTAAGTGTTTTTCCAAGAATCTTATAATTTGGCAATTATCTGCTACAGGTTTTGTGTTCTGCCATCATGCAATGCTGTCATTTCAGAACGCTATGCTAGATGGCAGCTAACATATGCATTAAGTTTTGTTTCACAGCAAAAATGTATTCAGGTAACTTCAGAGCATTTTATAGACACAACAAACAACATAAATGAAGTGGCATATTCTATGTGGACATAAAAATCTTATCTAAGTTGTATTAGTTCTGTAAGGAGCAGCACAAGTGACACAACTGTGTCATGATGGCATGGGACACACATTTCAAAGGTACAGGGACTATATACCATTTTTCCTTGATGAGAAGCTTTGAGATGAAATCTTTGGCCTCATCAGAAACACCTTGAAATTCCTCATCTTCAAAATCCCAGTTACAGGCCAGGATATTGTTGAGGGTCTCATTGTCATCATCACCCAAAAAAGGAGACAATCCACTGAGGCTGAAGTAAAAAGAATTATGTTCAGTCCTCCTGTGTTTTCCCCTTCCTTTACATGATCTCCAATGTGACACCTATGATTGTTCTGTCACTACCGGCCTATCTTGCAAAATGCTGTTGTTTAAGAAGATCTACAGGCTGTTCCCATTCTCTCATCTATTTGCATGTTTAAATAGTCATGCCTCTTCTCTAACAAACCAAGCATTATTGTCTTTCGTGGTAGGTCATATTTTCAGGGTCTCTGATCGCTCTTGCACATACCCACTAGGAATTTACCAAGCAGTGTACATTATTCTGGAGTGTGATGATCAAACATTCCTGAGAGATGTGCCATGAAACAAAGAAGAAAAGTTAATGGCAATTGGAAAAGAGAAGATATTGCTCAATATGGAATTTGGAAAGAAGTCTACATTTCCTATTTTGGGTACAGATTTTTTCAATCTTCAGTATAACAGCAAACGTGGATGACTGACACAGTTCAGCCTAGAAACATCTTACAAAGCAGACACTGAATCCTACTTACAGCATATAAGCAATTACTCCTAAACTCCACATGTCTGTAGGAAAAGAGACAAACTCATAATTCACAACTTCAGGAGCAAGAAATTCTGGAGTCCCAAAGTTAACTCGAAGTTTTTCCCTGGGTTTATATCTAGGAAATGGAAACATTAAAGAGGACATCAATTGCAGGTCTAATTAAAGTTGCATCATAAGTTGTATAGCACTTAGGAAGATTCCAGAAGCATACAGGGCATTCATTAGGAAAACAGACAGAGGTACAAGCTAAAAAAAAAAATGCCCATGTATAGAATGAAAAGTGTTTGCAAGCTCTGTATCATACTAGGGCAACACACAACTGCTATAAAAAGGCAGAAATTCATATTTCAAGGACTTCTCAGAGTAGCTCTTACAATCCTTTTGGGACTTCTCCATATCATAGGTATGGATTTTTTAACCAGTAAATCCTTCACTGAGGTTATGACACCTAATTAAACTAGAAAGTGACATAGCACGGGATATATTGTAACAGATGGTATCTTACACTCTCTTTTGAAGAATCTCTTAATATTGGAGACAAAAGCCTAGACAAAATGTACCACTGGTTGGGTCCATTTTAGCTGTTTCAAGATACTTATGTGCATGCTTAGTCAGAATCAGCCCATTTTCAACCTTTTACTTGAAAAAAAGGCTTTGAAACAAATCTTATTCACTTAGCTACAAACATTCCTTATTAAAAGAGATCTCTGGTTAAAAGAGACAGTTACATTTGTCCTAAAAACGGTGGAAGGCCATTATGTACCAAATATGTCATTGAGGAGATGCAATACTTTTTTCATTATTTCCTAATTCATTTATGATTAGTAAGAACACATGCATGTACCTTCTTGCCAATCCAAAATCAATAATTTTTATTTGATTTGCCTCTCGGTTCACGCACAGGATATTCTCAGGCTGCCAAGAGAAACAAACAAACAAAAAAAAACACTTTAATGAGAAACAAGTATGAAAAACAGGGCCTTAGCAAACTGTAGGGAGAAAAACACTAAAACCAGAGCAAATAACTCCTAAGCACCTTTTGCTTTCCTTTTCCTCCTTGTTCAGATTTCTCTGCATGGGTACCCCCCTTGCTGTCACACAGAAATTGGAGCCATGCATTTTGTGCCTTGCAACTGCTTTTTCTTCTCCATGGCTTTTCAGTTTGACACAAGGCAGCAGTTCAGATAAAAAACTCATTAGGGGGATGGGGACAGGGAATGCAGACTTACAAAGAAGGGTTTCAGGATACTGTCACTGTGATTTTACAGACTTTAATAAGCTGACACTGATTTTTAAAAAATAAATTAATTTGTTGGACTTTCAATACAGCTTTAAGCTCCTAAGTTCACAAATATTCTGTCTGATTGAACACTAATATACTAAGCTAGTCACATCAACTTTATGCTTTTCTCAGGTATTTTAGCAAAAGATAGGATTCACAGGTTAAATCCCTCTGGATTTTCATGGGGCTAAATGCTACTCTTCACTTTCCTGGCAGGAATCCATTAACTTCCAAGAATTACTCCTAATTCATACAGAAGGGACTGAGAACAGGATTTGGACAATTGTGTTTGAAATGTAAATACCTAAAATACATTCTCATGTTCACTGCCAGCACTTTTATAGCTTCTCTGTCTTGTTGCTCATTGAGTCCTCTTTGAAACAAAACAGCCCTCAACACTTAAAACATTAGTTAACCTTTGTCACCATTACTAATTCATTTTACATGTAGGACTTTTAAACACCATATGTCCATAGTTTCTGAGGTCCCGGATGATTATGGTCAAGATGATTTTCTTTCAATTTCAAGCTTTCTTTCCTCAACTCATTTGTTACTGACAGCAATCTATGAACAAGCAAAGCAGAAGGGAGAAGCCATAGCTGGCGAGCACATGAAAAGAGGTCTCCCGAATGAATTTCTTGGATTGTGTATGTATCTTTTTGTCAGCAGTTTGACCTCATATTAAAACTGTGCCATCTCCAAGGTCATAACTAATGTGTCTCAAAGAACCGTGTGAACTTCTGTTTGACAGGTTTCTTGGTAACTGAATGTTTATAAAGAAAGAGAAAAGTGAGTCTGGTCATCGATCAGCTACTGAAGCAGGTCCCAACAAGCATCTGCTCATTTACTTAACCACTGCAATAATGTATATGCTAACAACATTCAAGATCTGCTATATTAACTCAGTCATTACAAGCCAAAACAGCAGCTGTAATAAAAATCTCACCAAAGAGAAAACCATCTTGTGTACTTTTTGTTCCTTTTCGCTTTGTTGTAAAGCCCAGGGATCACTATGAAGCTTTATAGCCAGTCATAAAACTAAAGACACCATCCTATTTTATTTCTGCACTAAATAGAGGTAAGAAACAAGTATATTATTTAATAAAAACTTGGGTTAAGTGAGAAAGAGCCAGCTCAAATGTACAGTCTAATGAAAAACAACAATAAATGTTTTCTAAGGGGTGACAGTTAACCATTTACAGTCAGACAGAGTAAGGATGTGCAGTTGGTGGATTGTTTTTTAAAAAGAAGCAAGGAGACTTTTTGTGTATTTAGCAAATACTTCATATAACTAAGCAGAGGATCAAACTAAGGACATGGCAGAGGATCTGCCACCCTTCTCTGGGCTTTCAGCTACACTAGTAGTTTTTACCTAATCCAATGTGGACATACTGTATTTGTTACATCAGCCACTGAATATATTTATTTATTCCATTTCAGCAAGTACTTTTAATGCACTTTCCCTTGAGCTGCCTATCTATTCATGCCTTTTCATGACTATGGCAGTTTAGCGTAGCCCTCAGAAAGTCACGGAGGGTTTCTGCTGACCCTGAATGACCCTTTAATTTAGTTCCACTCACTCATACCTTGATTTCTGCATAGTAAAAAATGGAGATAATGGCTACCCTATGGATCATGTGTAAAACACATATCTTGTGCAGTGAATAAAATAATATGCATCTTGAGATACAAATATCAAAATTGAAAATACCAAAATATTTGTAATCAGCTGTTTGCTTTCTGTAAAATCAGTCGGTGAAAAATTCAAGCACTATGGGGCTTGATGACATATGACCACAATTCTCATCTGATTTACTTAGTCCTGTAGTAATTTCACTGATCTCAACGTGGTTAAGTAAATATGCATTGATATAAGGAAAGCAGAAGAAGGCCCTTTGTTGTTTCTGCCACAGGAATCTGCTAAGCTGTACGGCCCACCATTAAGAATAAGAATTTCCACGTCTGTCATTGCACAAAACATACACCTCAATACTCTACCTTGAGATCCAAATGAAGAATGTACATTTGGTGCATGTACTGAATTCCCTTGCAGATCTGTTTTATGAATGAGATAGTATCCATCTCTGTTAAATTGTAGTTTTCATCAATAATTCGGTCAAATAACTCTCCTCCTTCCACACTGAGGAGAGAAAGACAATAAAGTGGTAACCAAGTCCAAATACAATCCCACGCAGTTAGATCAATACAGAATTTATGCTACTATTTTCATCATTCACAGTCAAATTCAGTAAGGTCTACAATATGAGCTTGTACTCTGATCTGACCTTTTCAAAAACTGAGTTCTGTTCCATACTGGCCTGAACTTCTTCAAGGTCTGAGAGTCCAGTCTCCCATCCACTGACAACCACGAAAGTCTTGACATTTGAAACTTATGCTAACTTGAGTCATCATTTTGTACCACTGAAATTAATGAAGTCCATGGAAAACCAAGCCAACATGCTGGAGAATCTGCATGTAAATCTGTTGTCTCTTCCCACAGAGTTTAAGAAGGACATGATACAAAATGTCAATCTGAAACTATCTAAAGTCAACAAAAATTACTTAATTTCTCATCACATTTCAGAATGCCTCCAGCTCACCCATTCATAGATATACAGACATTTTCCTTTTGTGATAAACTGATCATGTAGACCAGATTCAGAGGATTATCTGAGAATATCCAGAACAGTCAGACTCACATAGATTCGAACCCTCTGCCATGCCTTTCAATGTGTTAGTTATGATCTTTTTGGTTCCCTTAAGACAATATCTGCTTAACTTCCCTTTAAGGCAGCTATTTTGTGCCTAATCAGCCTGAAAACCCAGCATAAAAAGCAGGTTTATCCATTCAGGCACTGAGTATAAGGATTAGGCATAACACCTACATCTGGCTCCGTGTCAATGTCTTCTCGTTTGCCTCAGAGAATTGGATATATTCTGAGATGCTTGTTTCATAGCTGACACAAGATAAAATTTGAAATTAAAGGGAAGATCTATAACACAGCTCTATCTTTAAATGGAACCGTGGCTTTACAGCACCAGGAATGTGGCATATCACTGTAAAAAAAATGCATAAATAGATGCATGGGAAAACTTTTCTCTTAAATTCCCTTATTTGTTGTTGTTCCTGAGAATATATTTCATATGTTCTTTCCACCTGTGAGAAGCTCTATTTCTGATTTCAGGAGGAAGCAAGAAGGAAATCAATAATTCTAGCAAAAGTGGTAAAGGCAGAAAGGGAAAGAAAAGAACAGACTTACTATTCCATGACGAGTACAATGTCATTTTTAGACTCAAAGGCATCATATAGCTGGATGAGGTTCACATGATTCAGCTGGTTCATGACATTGATTTCATTTTTTACTTCATCCTGTAAAGAGTTATGAGTATTGCTTCAGATGCCTTTTTTCCTAAGAAAGCTACATGAAACAGGGCATAGTTTGAAGCACACTTGCACATTATCTTCATGCTTTCACTTGTGGCAATCAAACACAGGCTTTCCTTTGATTGCTCCTGCAGTGGTAGATGTCAAGGAGCTACTACACTGAACTCAGAGCTTGAGTGAGGGACTGCTTCAGTAATAAGCTATTTGGTGAAAAAGGAGGAGGAGAGCCCACATGGACAAGTGATGGCTTCACATAGATATAAAGAAAAAAGAGAAGCAGAAAAGGACTTAGTTTAAACAGCTGTAGGTATAAAAAATCAAGCTGAGAAAAGTCCAGGACAGTCCTCACAACCTAACTTTGCAATCAGATGAGAGAGACTGGTACCTGCATTCAGCCCAGCTATTTCAGACATGCAGTTTAGGATGGGCTGACTCATTCTCTGGTGGCATCAATCTCCACCCTAGAAAGGGATTCTAGGTGATCAGCTTGGCCACAGCTATACCTTACTAAACGCAGTTAGCTGAGACAAATCCCACTCTGGAATGCCATTAAGACACTGCTGTCACACAAAGGAAGCTATGCAGGTCTTTCCTGTGAAAGCAAGCCCCAGATGGCCACGAGGTTTGCAAAACAGGTCAGATGAATTCTTCTCATCTGTATTTGTGTTGAGGAGCCCAGATCGTGGCTGTTATCAGCACACCCCACAGTGACATCGTCATTGTAATGAAGGCTACAATGTGCTTGGGAAGGAATACGCTATGTCAGAGGCCTGACATTAAGAAAAACACTAATCGAATTAGCAACAGAAAGCAAAAAAAGTAACCCAAATGGAGCTGAAAAGAAAGTTGAAAAAACTCAGATTTTTTTTTAAAAAAAGAGAGAGAGTACTCGAAAAGAGTACTTCGCTGAGTTACTAGAAGACTTGGAGAAGGGAAATAGAACTAGAGACAATAGCAATTCAGCAGGTCCTATGAGTGTGATGGCTTGTGAGACACTTGACCATGGTCTGTTGTGTAGCTGAAGAATAGTATGGGATCCATTGGGGAACAAAAGACTAATATTACACTCTACCAACCTTCTGTTTTGGACCTTTTGCTTTAATAATTTTGGCTGCTAGCTTGAGACCTGTTGCTTTCTCTTCACATTTGTGCACTTGCCCAAATCGCCCCCTAGATAAAGGAGGAAAAAAAAATTATCATCCAGTGGTACAGGTGACAACTCTGAATGTTATAAACAACATAAATTATTCTCTGCCTACTGGGTTCCATTTCAATTGCCCTATTGTTGCTATTTTGTGGTATATATTATACTTTCTACCACTCATTTAGGCACACCAAAATCAAACACTGTTCTATGAGGTATTATCCCACTTGTATGATTCACTATACTCACCTCATAACATGCAGTAACTAATCCCAGGGAAGTCAACATACTGTAAGCCTAATGACTCACTTATGTGCACAACCTGCCCCTCTCCATCGCATCATTCTCCTCCACGGGTGGGGTTGTGATTTCATGATGAAACAAAGCCTTACCCAAGAGCATGCTGCCTTCACAAATTACAATATCCCTCTCTCTGAAACAATGTCAGCATGAGAGATCAAGTAACTACATGGTCTGTCAGATTAGCCTGCTAATCTATCTGAAAACATGCATGTGTTTTCAAGGCGTGAGACTCACTGAGAGAAAGAAGACTACAACATGTCTCTACATCCTGCTGGCTGTAATGTGAGGTAAAGTATTACAGCATCCTAGGAGCCCCATCATATAGCCTGAGGGCATCTGACTGACCCAGAATAATACCAAATACAGGCCAAGTATGCTGGTGCCAAAGAGTAAGCCAAAATTCACTCACACTATAAAATCAGCCTCCTGTTTTCATCCCTCTATAAAGCACTGTAAGAGCTTAGACTTTCATGACTTTGGCTCTAGTGAGGCAGGTTGCCTCCATTCACCTCCCAAAGTGTTTGGCTGTAAATTTGTGCCCTGCTTTCCAAGTGCATTTACTTCACCTGACTTACCCTCCCAGGACTTCATCCTCGTTGACATTATAATAATTGCTGATCCCCACCCTTTTGGCTGAGACAATCCGGTGATCGAATGGTGCTGGTGGAGTAGGAATATCATCTACAAAAGACAAAATAGGCAGATAGCATATGAGTGGTCACATGCAGTGTTTGTCTGTCTCGTATTTTAGTCCCTTTTTCCCAGATAAGCTCATTTAAGAACTGAATACACTTTCTGTATGTTTTATAGATAGGTCTTTCTGTTATTTAAGAAGGGTTTTATTTCAGAAGCTCTGGCTCAGAAAAAAAAGTTGTTGTGGGGGAGCTACACTACTGAGACAAGGACTCCTTTATTAAGTTATCATCTTCTGCACAACAGTAGGAAGACACAAAGTGAAGACTGCTAGACTAAACCAACATAGCTTCATGCCCTCAATGGGCCTCAGCAATTTGTAAGGAATTCAACCTTATCTCTGATTGTTTTTACATTTTTTTTTCTTCCTCGGGGACTGTTAAATAGGTAAGTATGTACTGCAACTCTCCCATGGGGTAGGAAGAGAAACTAAACTCTCCTCCAGGCCCAGCTAAGAGAGGCTATTTCCAAGCTTCTGCTGTTTATAGTGAAGAATCCCCTTCTCTACTGATTGACACAAGTTGTCCTTCTCCACAGTATGGTCATCACCATTAAAGACCATATTTAGAGCTTGTGCACGTGAGGGAGTTTCACCCTGGCAGACAGCATTGGGGTTTCCAGTATGGCTCAAGACCCGTTGTGGTAAGACACATGGTAACTGCCACATGTTGCTCTGAAGAATTTCTGTCCTTAAAAAAAGATGGCAGATAAAAGGGAAAGA